GTACGTAATCATTTATCTGCTTTTTATTTTTGATATAGTATTAATAACTCAAGCTAAAGCCTACAGCCAATTATTTCCAATTTCATTCATATTTTTGTGAAATTGTTTTTCGAGTTGGCAGATGAGAACCTGTGGATGAACATTGGTGAATATAATTAGAAACCCATGCGAAGTAGCCTACGTATGTTACAAGAACCAGTAACAAAGTATTAGGGCCAAAGCAGATGTATAAACATTATCCAAAAATGCAAATCAGAGATCATACATAGGGTTGCTTTGATTTGGAATAAAACTTTTAATTGGTCAAATCATTTTAGAGGTCTTAAATAGAAAAAAGATGCAAAACTGACAACAAAATGACATTCTCTAAATGAATTAATCTTCATTTCACTGTTTTCATAGCCTATCTAAAGAATGTTGGAGCTACTATGTAAAAACAGGAGAATTACCTCAGGATTTGACAGTTATGCAAGGAATTAATTATTAATTGTGATTATTGTGGGTGTTGGTCTCAAACAAGTAGCCTACTGTTCATTTGTTTAACTGGATTTACAAGATTCCTAAATTACTTAATTGCTTTTTTTGGGAGTGGCACATTTGGTCTAAAAAGTGGTCAAGAACGCAAAAGTGTCTTGGCAATTTTTAGCTATATGTATTTTTTTTTTTACAGTTTCTAAACACTGCTATATAAGTAATTTCAGCCAATTACATGCCAAAGCCCCACCTCCAAATATATGCCAGCCAATCCGATCACAGCAAACGCGAACACATTTTTATATCTAGTATTAAAAAAAAGTATCACAAGTCACCTTTCTTTAACACTTTACACAGGTTTCAGACATCTCAAATCAGTTCTGGCTGTTGTAATTTCCCTCACAATGACTGACTGATGCAGAGGAACTTTGAACAGGTTCTTAAAGGGGTCATATGATGCGATTTCAAGTTTTCCTTTCTCTTTGGAGTGTTACAAGCTGATTGTGCATAGATAAGATCCCTGAAGTTGCAAAGACTAAAGTCTCAAAACCAAAGAGATATTCTTTATCAAAGTTAAGACTCTGCCATGCCCCCCTAAAACGGCTCGTTCTAACACGCCCCCACATATCTACCTCACTATGTGGAAATATTAGCATAATGCCGCCCAAATGTACACCATAACAAATTCCTTGTATGTGCAAACATACTTGGCAATAAAGCTCTTTCTGATTCTGATTCTGATAAATACACACATGTATGTATATATTTAAGAAACATTTTAATTTTATGTATTAAATATATGTATAAAATATATACCGTATGTGTGTATTTATATGCACATAATAAATATACACAGTACACACACATATATAAACAAAAACTTTTATTTTGGATGCGACTAATTGTTTGACACTACTCCTTGATATAGTGACTAAATATAGATTAATCTCTTTGATTATGTCTAGTGATATGTAGATACGTTCGTGCACGTTTTTAATTAGTTTTGCAGTCAGAGCATTGTTTACTTACCCTAATCTGAATGTTGTCCTCGTGTATCCCAGTTTTCATTGGTTTGTGAAGACTCTTGGCTTGCAGACCTGAACCAGGTATGCTTAGCTGGAGGTTTTTTTTATAGGTGCCCTAGTGACTGGATACCTAGCTGACAGGTATTTTTCATCTTTCATGTATCAGCATGTTATATTTAGGCATGTCGCAATAATCAATATTTCGACTTATCGTGCAATATATGTACATGACCGCAATCATTTTTGGTTACACAATATATAACCCATTATATTTACTTAAAAATTTATGTCACCATGTTTTGTACATTCCACTTGCGCCTGTGTCTTTTGCAGCTTCTCATACAATTTAGGGGAAGTTGTGGCCTAATGGTTAGAGGGTTGGACTCGTAACCCAAAGGTTGTGGGTTCGAGTTTCGTACCGGCAGGGATTGTAGGTGGGGGGAGTGAATGTACAGCGCTCTCTTCCACCTTCAATACCACGACCCTTGAGCAAGGCACCGAACCCCCATCTGTTCCCCGGGCGCCGCAGCAAAAAATGGCTGCCCACTGCTCCGTGTGTGTGTTCACTGCTGTGTGTGTGCACTTTGGATGGGTTAAATGCGTACGCTCTTCTGTGTCAGCCATGACACAAGGATACGTTTTCTACGTGTATTTACGCTTTGATTTGAACGAAAACAGCGCATCCGTGCAGCTCGGCTGACACAGAAGAGCATACGCTGCTTGC